GACCCTATGTACAACAGCCCTAAACTCCGCTCTGTCCTGTGCCAATCGCACTGTTAACTCCGCAATAAGGGATATACCTTTAACTTGCTGGTCTGTCTAATACTTCTCTAAATCTGAACATTCACATGAGACAGACTAGGAAGAAGGATTGGCCATCCACTTCTGAAATAGCAGGCCTCTGAAAACCCTATAACACTATACTTAGTACTTAGAAATATTATCTCATGTAATCAACCAACCAAGAAGTAGGTGTCATATCCTTTTAAAAGAGAAGAAACTTATAAATTAAAGGAATGCTAATGAAAAAAAAAAAAAAGAGAAGAAACTGATGTTAAGAAACTTGTCTAAGTCAATTTTAAAATTGACTAAGCAATTGGCAGAGCAAAACCTGAATCTAAGTCTCTTTGATTCCAAAGTTGTTCTTTCAGGCATGGAAGCACAAGCTAGGAATATGGGCTCCTGAATCTCAGTACGGGCCCAACTCCAGATTTGGGGTTATGTGAGTGAGAATGAAGAGAAATTTTCTCTCCTGGGAAAATAAGTTATATACTGCTCACGCTTCTTTCCAGAGTCATTCCTACCTTACTTTTTAAAAACAGGACAGTGCAGGTAAGAGTGGAGTGAAAAGAAGTTGCTGACCAGTAAACAAGACGCGTGTAAGTATACTGTGGAGATACTGCAGGTTTGGTTACAGACCACTGCAATAAAGCAAGTCAAGAAGCTGCACTGTAATCCTGAAAGCACACGGTTCAAATCCACTAACTGCTCTGCAGGAGAAGGATGGGCAATATCCTCTTGTGTGATTAACTGCCTCTGAAACCCCCCACAGGGTCAGCTGTGACAGCACACAAGAAGATGATACATTAAAGAATATTTACACTATACTGTAGCTATTAAAGGGAACTCTGGTGGCACAGGCTGTAGGGAGTTACGCTGCTAAATCAGAGGTGTCACCTCTGGCAATTTGAATCTATTGGAGTGGCATCCACTTTCTAAACAACAAGACTCTGGAGACTCAATGAACTCTGAGAAATGTTGCTAGATATAGAAAAGCTTCAGGCCTTTTGTTCATAGGATCACTATGATTCATGCTCGACTTGATGGCAATCAACAACAGTAGGTCAGCAGGGAAAAGACAGACAATCTCCATCAGTATCATTTATAGCCTCCTGAAAATCTTCTAGAAGTTAGTTTTTAATTAGTTCTGACTTCATGGTAAGGAGCTTGCATTTTCTGAGTAGTTTAGTAAAGAAGCTGTGGTCGTGTGAAGTGTTATATGTTGTACTAGAAACAAAAAGGTCAGGGGTTTGAATCCACCAGCTGCTACTCAGGAGAAAGATGAGCAATCTCCTCCCATAAAGATTTATAGCCTTGGACACCAATGATGGATCTCTAGGAGTTCAAATGGACTAAATGGCAGTAGGTTGGTTTTTTATTAAGTATGAATAGTATGAGAATTCCAAAATGTGGCAGAGATACAAATAAACACTTGTTGAAAAAGGCATCAACAGACTCACTTCATAGAAGGTTGCCACAAACCTCCAATTTGTAAAAATCACATTTTCTATTACATGCGATAGAACAACATGTAATAAAATGAAGTATGCCTATAAAGGCCATACAATTGCGATGTAGCCCTACTCAACATGAAAACCTCAATTTTTTTCTAGACGTCTAAGCACATTAAAGACAAAAACTGAGCATAAAGCAATTCACAATTCAAAAGAGAGAGCTCAAACTCTGTACTCAAAGCAAGAGAATATTTTTCAAAAGAAAATTTTCAAATTTATGTTCTCAGTGATAACTAGGAGAACAAACATCAAATAGAAAAGGGTCAGTTGTCATTTTTTCCACATAAAAGCAAAACCAAAACCAAACCTGTGAACTCCAGGTTGATTCTAACTTATAGCAACCCTACATTTCCAAGGCTTTAATCTTTACAGAAGCAGGCTGTTAAGTCTTTCTTCAGGAGAGTAGCTAGTGGGTTTGATCTACTGACCTTTTAATTAGCAGTTTATTGCTTTAACCACTAAACCACCAATGCTTCTTTTCCTCAGGTAGTAACTAGCATATGTATTAGTAGGACTTTTCTGAGGGTCAATTCATCAAAGTGCTAAAGAATAGAAACTTTATTCTCTTGACCTGGAAATTCCCCATACAGAAATATATTCCAAGTAAATAATAGTACACATGAGGACTCACACACATAGAGGACAATAATAATACAATAATAGTGACAGTAAAAACTGGGATCCATCTCAAAGTCTAGTAGTTCGGTCAGATAAATTTATGATACAATGAATTCTATGCCTTCATAAAAAGTGTATCAACTAGCCTAGTGGCAAGAAGCTGTACTGCAATCCCAGAGGCATGCGGTTCAAATCTACCAGATCCTCTGCTGTAAAGGAGAGGCAATCGCCTCCTGTATCAGTCGGATCAGATTTTATGGTGTGTACACACACACACACACACACACACACACACACACACACACACACACACAGTATATCAACTAGTAGGAAGAAAGATATATTTATTATCAAGTGAGAAAAAGCACATTATAAATCTATTACATAGGGGTTAATCAGACATTGTAATTAGTTACATTACTCAATTGTAACTAATGTTATAAAACAAAATGTGTATGAATGATTAAATGAAAAACCAATATGATTTGTAAACTTTCACTCAAAACTAAAACAAAATTATGTCAAAGAGGAAAACTCATTTTATTTTCCTATCTCTCTGCGGAGGAAGCTGCTAATAAGCTGTGCTGCAATCCCAAGGGCACACTACTCATGGAATTCACTATTCATAGGAAGAGGATGGGCATTCTCCATCCATGTGATTTACTGCCTCTGAAAACCCTCTGGAGGGTCATCTACAAGTCAGTTTCGACTCGATGGCACACACTACCACCACCATGACCTCTCTAAGGAGAAATACTGCAAGGCTATCTGGTTCAAGGATAAAACTGTGCTTCTCATTTATTAGAAAGGAAAAGATAAAATCTTGTAAAGTTTTGGTAATATGGCAAAAAAGTAGAATTAGACTAAAAATTCATATAACAAGTTATAATCTGAAGCACAGCTATTTAAATACACATATAAGATAGGTGCAAGGATCTAATATTCTAAATCAATTTTATCTTTTTGTTACTCTGAAAGACCATCTCTTCACTGCATACTAAAATTTCAAAGTAAAGAACAGGATATGAATTAAAAACACTCTCCTTAGAATGAAAATATTTATAAACTCTTCTAACTTTCTCAAGATTTCACAAAATATATAAAAATCAAATGGCTGAGCTTAGAAAAATGAGTGAGTCACCAGGAAACACAGTAATTGGAAACTGGTTAAAAAGATAAAATGAATACAATTGTGAAAGACTTCATTCTACTTACTTTTTAAATATAAACTGGATGAAATGCTATCAGACTGATCAAGCACAGAAGAATCTGAGGAAGGAGTCAGAAGGTTTTCTTTGCTCTTCAAAAAGAAATCTACAGTGTCCAGCTGGCGATTTTCTATCCCAGCCTAAAAGGAAGAAAATCAAGGGGAGAAAGGTGAGGATAGAAAAAAAGGGGAAAATAAAACCCAACATGCAGATGTTTACTAAAATAAAGAAACTTTAGGATTTAAGGAGCTGAGGCTGAAGAAAACACAAGGTTATCTTTATGTCACACTAGCGGGGATAACAATAGCGACCACCTGGTCTAGGCAAATCTGCAGCTTTCTGAGCCTCAGTTTTTGCTTAAATAGAAACAGGAGGCTTGACTTGAACATTTTCCCAGCTCTTCCATTCTAAAATTCTTCAGAGTAGGTACATGGAGATTGTTCTTACAGTAATACATGTACATGTAAAAAAAGATAAAGCATGAGAATTACAAGAAGAGGAAAAGTACTGTTACAACTTAAAAAGTATAATCAACATCCTGAAACAAAATGTATGTGAATGGCTGAATGGAAAATCAATTTGCTCTGTAAATGTCCACTCAAATCACAATAAAAAGTTAAGAAAAAGAAAATAAAATGTTAAATCAGTTTAATGTAATGTTAAAAGAAAAAGCAGCATAAGCAAAGACTATTAGCCCTGATTAGGCATTTTGAGGAACCTTCTGATACACACCACCTTCAAATCATAGGTTTTATAAATATATGTATGTTTAAATGCTCAGCTGAACTAACAAAGTGACTGAAAATCTGAAGACCTGTGAGAATATGTGACAGAAAAATCATGAGCTAATTCCTACAGATAGATTTAAACATTACCTCTAGTGCGTGTATGGGTATTGAGCACCTCCCCCAAGCATTGAGGTGACACAGAGAGTCGACAGTGCTGGCACTTCCATGGATCATCAGTCTATTCAAAAACTCTTCTTGAGTCAAACCAAACAAAACCAGAGAAAGTCCATTTTCTATAGGAAAAAGAAAAGTTAGCTTTAAAAAATGGTTAAGATTTAAGTGAGTTTTCAAATTACTTACTACTTCAAGACTATAATTTATGGCATAAGCCACTGGGAGTTGCCCTGCTAAACCAAAGGCTGAGCATCTGGTTCGAATCCACCAGCCATTCCTCAGGAAAAAGATGGTCTCCTCCTGTGATTTATAGCCTTTGAACACTTGCTGAAAAGTCAGCTAAGTCAGTTCCTACTCCACAGCAAACACTGACAGATTCTGCCTTTAATTCATTGTGTTTTTCAAGTAAAGTTTTATTTTATAAACACTGAACACAAGACAAAGTCTTGTATGAACAATGAATCTTATGAAAGAGCATGACATCATACATTTTCACTCCAAATTGTCTTATAGTACTTAATTATTTTAATATTTACAGAGGTATTAGATTTCTTGTTTATTAAAACTCATATAATGCTCCTGACACAGAAATACATGATTACCAAAATGTGAGTACTAAAGCAGCAGGAAACTTTTAGTTCAGACAACCTTGATAGTACAAAAGCCTGTTTTTGTAACACAATAAAAAATGATAATATAAATGCTCAATAAATGTGTGTTGATCTATCAAAGCCAGATGCCTATAATGGCCAAGTAAGTGATTAGAGAATTGTTTATTATAATCTGTATGTATTTACTCTGAGTAACTTCAAGAAAAGCCTGACTGGAATGAAAAAGAAAAGCCCAGCTAAAGAGTTGTTGTTTACCATTGAGTTGGAACTGGCCCATAGTTGACCCTCCGGCAGTTAATCTCACAGGAGTAGATTGTCTATCTTTCTCCTAGGAAGCAGCTGTTGATTCGAAATTGATTGCAGCACATCTTTTTACCACTAGGCCATCAGAGCTCTCTAGCTCTGAATTTTCAACTGAAATTCTAGTCCAATCCCCAAGTTACAAATGCAGGTCTAGAGCTGCTAGCTCGTAAAATTTTCAACAGCTGGAAATGCAGATTTTAAAGTGCAATTATCTCATTTTGTATGTTCAGTGGCACTTAATGACAAAAACATAATAAATTAAGTCTTTAGAAAAGGTTCTATGTACAACCACAAGTCACCATGCAGCAGCTTGCTGTTAATGTATAAGGTCAAGAGCCTTTGACTGCTTCCATGTTGGCATCTGCCCCTCCTTAAGAGCAAAGGCAAATGTTGGGTGAAAGGCTGTTTCCTCTTATTCAAGCCATGCACACTACATTGGCTGGTAAAATTACTGGAATGTTACTGGAGATTAATAATTCAGAACAACTTCATATGCTTGAGTCTCCAGAGTCTCTTTGTTCTAACGTTGATGAAGCTGAAGCTGTACTACAAGCCCACCAAGCTAACGAGGCTGCCCAGAAAGCAGTTAACAGGGCCACTGGTGTTCGAACTGTTTAAAATGATCAGGGACCATGAAAGAAAACTCGTGCTTCACTGAAGAAAAAGAACTAAACATTGAAAAACTTAAATATTGGGGGAAAAAACCATTGCAAAATATAAAATTTAAAAAAAAAAGGAAAGGAAACTTTGAACCTTATGTACTGAGCAAATGCTGGGGCTAGCATGTGCTAGTTCTAGATTACTTACTCATTTAAAAACAAAAAACAAAAAAAAGAGGAAAAAATAGTAAAACATAAAAACAAATTAATGTTTTATAGACCCTGGGAAAAAGAATTTTCAGCAAAGTACAAAAATTTAAAGCATTCCTTTCTTTAATTTTTAATTCCTTACTGTGGAATAGCTCAGAATGTCAGTTGTTTTAGGTAACAGAATTGATAACTGAGCAAGGAAATGTAATTTGGATTATAAAATTCTTACTTTAATAAAAATTTCTTAAACTGTGAAAAAAAAAAAGACAAGGTTCTGAATGGTCTCAGTAGTGCATATAGAACAAAAGAATTCTGCAATTCAACATATGGACCATGAGGAGCCAGGCATTCAGTAGCCTCTGCTTGTACGGAATGAAGTCAAGTTGAACCTCTGGATTGGTAGCAACCCTTATTGCTCTTAAAATTTCTGATTTAGTGTCTTCACATTTAAGGGAGCCAAAATGGCCCTAATTTTTTAAAAAAATCAAACATACAAGACAAAGTTAGCAAGTATAATACCAAATTTCCTCAATGACAGTCTACTTTGAGAGGAGGAGAGGCACTAGCACTACCCAGGTAGCAGAAATAAATGCAGTGAAACCTCTAAGAGACTTGTTTATGTCTTAAAAGTTGTTCTTTCTTGACAGAGTTCAGTATTGTCATTTTTCTAATACTCACTTTAGTGTAAAATATTTTGAGTTCCCACCTTAGAGAAGGTGTGGCTTTCACAGGTTCTACTGTACATCTACAAAGCTATCATCAGCAATGGATTGCAATGGAGTCTCACCTGTAATAATGAGGCACAGCTGTTGGGCTCCACCATTCTCTACAGGAATACATTTTTTGCCAAGAGGAAAACACTGTATGCCCTGGGTCTCCAAATCCCAGAAAACAATGGAGCAGTAGCCAGTTCTTTCCCCTGCCTGAGAAAACTGCACAGTGAATCCTGTCATAGATATACATTCAAGCTCTGTGGGTTCCTCTTGTTCAATACTATGCATTATCTTCCAGGGCCTTCTTAGATCCCTGGGCTCAGCATGACTATCTTTCTGTGGAAAATTATACTGGCTATACCACAGGTCTTCTGAAATGAAGGTCCAACTTGGCACAATGATACCATGATTATCAGATTCAGAAGATTCCAAATGCAAAAGATCCTGGAACCATGGAGTACAATGGGAAATCTCCAGTTTAGAGTCCTTTATTGTATGATTCAATGATGACAGCTGAGCTTTCCATGACCTGGGAACACAGAATATTACTCATGCCTGCTATAGGAGAAGGCTCTAAGAAAAACACTGAACCAGTGGAAGGACATAGTTTTATTCTAACAAAAAAAACCGAATCTCAAGTACCATATAAGACCAGTGCTATAAAAAGCTAAAGAATGGCTTACATACAAGAATCATCACTCTAGTATGGTTATGAGGGAGGGAAAAGAGAGGGAGTAGAAAACTAATTAACAGATAACATTTATGAGGATGGATAAAAGGAAAGAATATGGAATGAATGGATGATCATACTCTGTATAACAATGGACAATATAAAACAAAATGTACATGAATGATCAAGTGGAAAAAGCAATCTTTTTTACCTTTGTTACCTTTCACTCAAATGACATAAAAAGCATCTACCTCTGTAAAGAACTTTAGTGAAAAGGTAATGTGTCCAAAGGGTCCCAAAATAGAATAAATTAAATCTAAAAAAAAAGGTGTTTCTCTACCTGTCAACCTGGAAGGAAAACTTGGTCAGCTTCATGTTATAGTCAGAGTTAACAGGATCATCCTCATCTACTCCTTTAGGCCCTTGAATAGGATGATCTTGTAGACTTCTTTCACACAGCAGGTGTTCTGGATGTTGCCTACATTTAAAAGATGATAGCCTTGGTCAAAAGTGATGGCCAAACCCAAATTCATGTTATTATTGATCCTGTTAAAATGAATAGTCCTGGTCACCTGATTTCCAACAAGAATACTAAGTCCATTCGGTGGAAGAAGGAAGAGTCTCTTGAACAAATGGTGCTAGGAAAACTGGATTTCCACATGCAAAAGAACATATTAGGGCCCTTGCTTTACATCATACACAACATTCAATTTAAAAGAGATCCAGAATCTAAATGTGAAAGCTGAAACTATAAAATTCTTAGAAGAAAAATACACGAGATGGTTGCAAGACCTCATTTTTAACAATGGAAAATCAGATATGATGACAAAAGCACAAGCTGTAAAACAGAACTTATTCAAATTATGATGACCTCATAGAGTCATTTATTGTAGGGTTTTTGGGTACATCTTATTGTTAATAATATGTTATTTATGTATGTGAATTTTTAATTTATGTGTAATGTTTGAAAGTCCCAAAGACAAAGATAAAATTTAAAAAGATACTGATAATAAAAATAAGTAATACTGAAGATTTTAAATAGAGGTTTTCAACTTTTATCAGAATAAACTTTAAGTGATGTCATCAGAAGGGACATTGTAACTTAGGGACTATCCGTACTTTTATCAAAGGACTTTATTGAAAATAATGCCACTTACAAAAGCCACCCAAAAGATTAAATACTACCAGAGACACCAAAGTGCTATACAAAGAAAACAACAAAGTATTTCTAAAAAAACAAAGAGCAACTTGCATAAATGGAAGACTGTATCATGCTCACGGATAGAAAGACTGAACATTGCTAAGTCAATACTACCAAAAGTGATCTACAGATATAACGCAACCCCAATTCAGATGCTGTCATTCTTCAATGCAAAGGAAAAAAGTTATCGCTAAATTTATATTGAAAGGAATGAGATCCTTTTCCTAGATGATTGCAAAGCACCACTGAAAAAGAAAAATAAAGTAGGAAGCCTCATACTTCCTGATCTCACAGACACAATTATAAAAACAGTGTGATATCAGTAAAGTGACAAATACAAAGACCAATGGCATAGACATGAGAACCCAAGAAAGAAATTAATTAACCTAAGGATAGCAAATCTTTCACAAGGACATAAAACTTATTAAATGGCGAAAATACAGCATCTTTAACAAATGATGTGGCAAAATTTGGTATCTATTCAAAGAATATGGAACCAAGATCCATTCTTCATACCATATAAAAAAACACACTAATAGATCAAGGACTAAGGGACAAAACTTAAAATTATAAAGATCTTCAGGGGGAAAAAAGGGAGTGCAAACACAAAATTCTTAATTTATTGCATAAACACACTACCTACCAAATAGAACCAAAAAATGCTCAATCAGCAGAGGACAAGTTAGATGAATGGTAGCATCTAAAAATTAAATCTTTATGTGCATAAGAAAAAATTCATTAAGAGGGTAAAAAGAGATCCTATTAAGGCAATATACACATTCAATGCAATCCCAATACAAATACCAATTCCATTCTTCAACGAGATGGAAAAGGCAATCTTCAGCTTCATTTGGAATGGAAAGAAGCCACAAATAAGCAAAGCACTCCTTAAAAATAGAAAAAGGTAGGAGGCATCTCACTCCCTGATTTATAATCCTACTACACTGCCGTGGTAGTCAAGACATCATGGTACTGGTACAATGACAGACACATAGATCAATGGAATAGAACTGAGAACCCGGAAATCAACCCATCTATTTATGGTCAACTGATTTTTGACAAGGAGATGAATCAGTTAGGTGGGGAAATGACAGCCTTTTTAACAAATGGTGTTGGCAAAATTGGAAAACTATCTGCAGAAGAATTAAACAAGATCCCCACCTCACTCCATATAAAAAAACCAACTCAAGGTGGATCATGGACCTAGGACTAAAACCAAGGACTATAAACCACATTCAGGAAAAGCTCAGAAAAACTTTAGTAGTCCTAATCCACAACATAAAGAGTCTCCCCAGTATTCTGAAAAATTTACAACCAGAAGAAGATAAAATAGATGAATGGGACCTTCTAAGAATCAAATCCCTATGCACCATCCAGAAACTTCTCTAACAGGGTAAAAAGGGAAGCCACAGACTGGGAAAGAGTGTTTGGTAATGACATGTCAGACTTATATCTAGAATTTATAAAATACTTGAGCACCACAACAAGATAAAGGTGAATAATCGAATTGAAAAATGGGCACAGGATATGGTTAGATGCCACGAAGTAGGTGGCAATGCCTTAACCGTATGCGTGTTGTAAAGGCCCAAAGGGCCTCTTCCATCCTTGTCAAGGGGAGTGCTAACCTTCTCTCCTTTCATACAACACGAGGGCACAGGATATGAACAGACACTTCAATAAGGAAGACATTCAGATGGCCAACAAGCACATGAAGAAATGTTCAAAATCCCTAGCTCTGAGAGAGATGCAAATCAAGACAACCATGAGATATCATCTCACTTCAGTAAGACTAGCAAAATTTAACAGAACAGCAAGCAACAAATGCTGGCGAGTTTGTGAAGAGTTTGGAACCCTTATTCACTGTTGGTGGGAGTGTAAAGTGGTGCAACCACTGTGGAAAGCGATGTGGCGCTTTCTCGAAAAGTTGCAAATAGAGATACCATTTGACCCAGCAATTCCACTACTGGGAATATACCCTAAAGAGACCATAAATGACATCCAAGTAGATATATG